AAAAAGACAATGTTACGGTTTCGTACCGAAGGTTATAATGGGTATTCGGTAAAATAAAAAATAAAATATTTATTGAAATAAGTACAATTAAAATTATAATCGTAATTTTAAGCTTTTTAATATATGTTTTTATAGTTACAATTCAGTCCATTCTTTGAAAATAAAATATCATGCGCAACAGCGGCAAATTTTGGATTAGTTGGAAATGGAAGATTATTTATTTTAAATACGGGTGGGGGCATTAACGGTGTGGAGATCGAACGAATGTAATTAAGATTTAGTTGACGATATTTTCCCAATAATTCATCCAATATCAATAATGCTTATATTATTCAAACAGTTATGATACTAAAGATGGGTTATTTGATTGCTCGTGGAGTGAACTTAATGAAAATCAAGTTGTCACGGCTAACGGCGATGGATCAATTATGTTATGGGATATAACGCTCATGGTTGTTTTTTTTAGAATAATTTTGTTCGCTATATTGCCTGCATTAATATTAATGCAGATTATACTTTTTTGGAACAGGATTTTCCAATAAAAAAATGGCAAGAACATCAAAGAGAGGTTTTTTCTGTAAATTGGAATTTGATCAAAAAAGATTCTTTTGTTAGTGGTTCTTGGGATCATACTATCAGATTGGTATTTATTTATTTACTTGTTTATTTGATCCACCTCCACATTATAGAAATTCAAAGTTTATACCTTTTTTAGTGGCACCCTGAAGCTTTACAATCTTTATCCGTATTCTCAGAGCATACTGAATGTGTATATAGTACAATGTGGTCACCATATAATCCTGATGTTTTTGGTTCTGCATCCGGTGATAATACTTTCAAAATCTGGGACGTAAAAGTTCCAAGGTCAACTCAAACTATACGCGCACATAGCAATGAAATTCTCTCTCTAGATTGGAATAAATATCAAGAGAATGTTGTGGTCACTGGTTCGGTGGATCGTACAGTAAAAGTGTGGGATTTAAGATTTCCAGATCATGAGCTAATCTGTTTACGTGGTCATCAATACGCTATAAGAAGAGTGAAATGTTCTCCACATGATGGTAATATTGTTGCCTCTGCATCATATGACATGACAATGAGATTATGGAACACAACTTTGGTTGATCCTTTGGTGGAAGTGCATGATGCACATACTGAATTTGTTTTAGGTGTCGATTTCAATTTATATATTGAAGGGCAAATAGCTACTTGTGCTTGGGATGAACACGTGCATATATGGAATCCTGGCCCTTTGATGAAACCAAATATACCTATGCCTTAGTGTACTGATTGAAATTTGTTGAACTTTATTAATGTTTATTTTACATTTATATATCTTAAAATATTCAAAAAAATATTCATTAATTTAAAAATTAACTTATTATTTAATAATATTTTAATTAGTCTTTGTTTTTGTTTTGTTTTTTTTTATACAAACTTTTAAATAAATTTTAAAGAGCAATATAGCATTATAAAATTACCAAACAATTTTTAAAAACTCTATTATAAAAAAGTTATAGCAATTTGAAAACTGATATTATAGTTATATAAAAACTTAATATAGATTTTATTTTAAAAAAAAATATTGACAAAATTATTTATATTATCAAAAGAACCTAAAGCATATTTATTATGTTTTTGTCATATGAAAGAAAATATAATATACAATGTTAAATGTACTTGTTAATTATTATAATACATAATTCAAGAATTAACCCCATTAAAATATGATAACTTTACTTTCAAATCACCAATTCCAGCATCAATTACTTGTGGAACAAGCATACTTTGACCAGTCTTTTTC